GCAACACATTTATCACAAACTGTGTGGGTTTATTGTCTCACGTTATCATTTCAATTCGTGGCCGTTTTAAATTGGATCACAATTCCGTTTGTGTTTTTCGCTGCCGGCGTGTTGCTTGGTATCGAAAAAATTGGCGAAGAAATTGAAAATCCTTTTGGTTTTGATGAAAATGATTTGGATTTGGACGAATTTTGCAAGTGGGTATTTTTTTTTTTTGTTATAAGAATATCATTCGATGAATATCGTATTAATTTTTTTATATCCTTTTTCCTTAGACATCTTGAACGTGAACTTGAGTTGATCACTTCCCATGCACCACCCAAAGCTAAAAATTGGATATTTAGCAAATCAAATGTGCCGTTTGGTAAAGATATCGGAGTTACCGGCGAAGAAGCTAGAAAACTCGAGGTTGACGAGGTTCGATCGTTACTTTCAGTTAATGGTGGAGAACACAACGAGAATAAAGAAAATGCTTCCAATGTTTCTATAAAAGTGGAATAGGTTTTTATTTTAACATTAATGATAATTTCTTCCACAAAATACTATAGTGTAATAACTAGTCAATTTATGTATTTTTGTAAAAAAAAATTTAAAAATAATGAATACTAATTTTCAACAATATCAATCATCAATGTCGATAATAATAGCATAGCTCACATAAATAGATATTGCCATTTATGGCGCTTACGACGATCTTAACAAATTACGTCATTATGATCCAACTAGTAAAATGACAGATCATGTGACTTCCGATTACAATCTGTCTTTCCGGAGTTCCGCCTATATAGATCTGTATTAGTTTAATATAATATTTGGTATTACATGTATTAGTTTAATAAATAATATATTAAAATTGTTATTATATATGGCAAAAAAGATGAAGAAAAATATAATAAAGCAGACTTCTTTTCATATTAACATATAAACTGTGAGATATCAGTATTTAATATAATTAAAAAGTCAATCATCAATCTTTGAAGTATTGCATGATATATTACTGAGTTCTTGCATTAAGAACTTCATAATATCTATCAATTTCTTGTATAAATATTCTTTTAAATTCTTGTATAAATCTATTATTTTTCATATTTTCTTGTAATAAAAATGCTTCTAACTCAAATATTCATTTAATCCTATTTATTATATCTCTATTTTATTCAGAGTCTTGATATTGATTAATAGTAATATGAAAATTACTTGTAGATATTATAGATATGTTGATAATTTATATATATCTATTTCAAGAATCATTATATATACTAATTTATTAATAATAATTCATATTATAACTAATCATCTATTTTTGTGATGTAATAGATATAGTATAGTACATGATATAGTAATTGTCAATTATTATCAAATCAAATGAACAAGAAATTTATATTAATTAATTTTATTTATTATTAATTCTATTTTTGACTTTACCTATCATAAGCGGTATTGGTTCTGTAGGTCAAAAGTAAACCCACGACGAACCCAAGCACGGGAATAAAACTTTGTGGAATTGTCAATTTTACCGACGTTTCTTTATAAAGAACCGTCACAATGACAGCCACAATTGTACAAATAAGCGCCGACGGAAATACTTTCGGGACAACGGTACCCTTCCATCTAAGTGCCATAGGATGTTGATGTCCTGTAGGTTTATAAATTTTTGGTTTTTTCGGTATGACCATTTGTGGTTTTGCTTGTTCACTTTTGGTCATTTTTGTTTACTTTTTTTTTGTCTTGGTATTTACTATCTTGTATTCGGTTGATTTTTTATGTTACTTTTTCGTGTTGTTTTCTCTCCTGGAGTAAAAAAGATTGTAAAAAAAAACTTTAATGCACGTAAAAAATTGATATTTTTCTGGGAAAAAATTACTGAGACCATTTTATGAGTTACGAGAAAACAACACGTCACAGTGTATACAATGTATATTAATATATATTAATATATATTAATATACTTGATGTTATGTTTCAATGCAATGTAGTAAACAGTAATTAAAGACAGTCAATCAAAATTGGCAAAAAAGCGAAAATTTTTATGTCGTGTAGCAGAAATTTCGAAAAAATCTAAAACCGCTCAATCAAAATCTTACGATCATTTTTTCCCAATAAAGAATTTTGATATACAGGATTTTTTTACTCTATCATCTATTAATAACCGAATTTAGAACGCGCAATAGACTTCCCCACTTTTGGATTTAATAATCACAAAGGGGAATTGTTAATTTTCAATTGCTTCTTTTTCTTTCGTTTGGTTTCTTTATCTTCTCATTTGGTTTCTTTAACATAATCCGATTCAGTTTAGTTTTATTACTCATAATCACAAAAATATTCATTACAATTTACTGGTCAAACCGCGGGAAAAAGACAGGAGAATAGAGGATACACAAACTTTGTATGCATCTATGCATGCACAAAATTCAAGGTTTATTAAATATAATTTCTCGTTCTCTTTAGTCATGCCCTTATAAGTAGAATTATATTGTTTATTGTTTGATTGACAATGCAAAGTCTGCTTTTTAAATCGGATTAGCTAGTTAATAGGGAAAGAAAGAAAAAAGTGAGCGAGCGTAGATTGGTGAATTAATTCACTTATCAACAACAATATGTTATCGTTATTATGTTTCATACAATGACACGAAAAAAATGACTACGCAAAATAAAAATTCGTATTACCACACATATCGATATCTTGCAGAAAAAAGCCAAACAATCATTTGTCTAATTTCCTTTTGTAATAACTAACCATATCAATCGGCAGATTTTTCTTTGATAACATGTGATATAGCTACCTTTCCTAAAATTAGCCGCCTCTTAACATCTTAACAGGGACACGGAAAAATCCCGAAATTGAAATTTATTAATCATATATATTAATTATTATTATAATATATAGCACGAAAAGACTCTTTACAAAGATTTTGCCAAAATTTTATTATAAGCACTAAAACTACGTTCTATACTGCATGATGAATTGGTTAACTAAATATATTTGATAAGATTATAACGTTTTTTGTATTATTTGCACAAGAATATGATTTAATTTTTTATAAAATGACGCACAATAGTTCATACATGTATCATTACATATAATACGTAATGTTATATGAACATACATGTAATAAAATTCCATCACATAACGAAATCTTCATTTTTCATAAATAAAATTCCCGTTCACGTCATTATTGAATTGATGCAATTGTAAGATTGTGACATCACGTGCCTCATAATCTTGTCTCAACAATTTTTTATTCTTTCTGAGGGAATTCTAAATCATGTCAACCGCTCAAAATAATGGGAATAAAGGTGCAAAGAGGTAAGTAAAGTAGATTTAAAGGATCAAAAAAAATATATTAGTTTTCAACTTTTTTTTATTCAATTCATTCAATAAATAAATTATCACCACCTCACTTTTTTCGCTCGATAGCAATACTAATAAACAAGCGCAAAAAAAACACACTAAAAAGGTCGAGGGTATGTTTGTATTTACTTAATTCTGTTAGCATGTCACGTTCTTAAAGATTACGCGTATATTCAAAGTTTCATGTATCGCGAAAATTCTATACATATTTTTACGTTGAATTTGTCAAATCATATAGCTGCAATTGAAGGCGCTGCACAAATTGGCATCGAAGTGCGAAAGGAGGCAGATTTCTCGACGTGGTATCAACAGGTGTTTATGATTTTTAGATGAATTCGATTTTTCGTATTTACAACGAGTTTCTTATTAATAGATATTGCCCAACCTAGGTCTTGACACGTTCAGAAATGTTAGATTATTATGATGTTTCCGGTTGCTACATTATTAGACCGTTGGCATATAATATCTGGCAAGAAATTCAACGTGAGTGTCGTTGTATAAGGATGATTTACATAAATTTCGATATTTATATACTCAATTATCTCAATTTTGCTTATACTGGCTCACGAATAATTTAAAATTTTTTGTCTACCCTAATTACATAAATAGATTTCTTTGATGCAGCAATCAAAGAACTTGGTGTAGAAGACACGTACTTTCCGATGTTTGTCTCACAGCGGGTACTGGAAAAGGAAAAAGATCATATTGAAGGATTCGCGCCAGAAGTCGCATGGGTCACAAAAGCGTATGTTTCGTTTCAAACTATATGAATTGATAATTCTTTGTTTGTATTCATCAAAGGAAACTATTTATTTTAATATCAATATAAAAAACATTGTTAACTTAAAGTGGATCCAGCGATCTGGAAGAACCAATCGCAATAAGGCCTACCTCAGAAACCGTCATGTACCCATACTTTGCCAAGTGGATTAGGAGTCATCGTGACTTGCCGTTGAAAGTGAATCAATGGTGTAATGTGGTTCGATGGGAATTCAAAAATCCTCGTGAGTTATTTTATTCCAATCAAGCAACTTATTATCATTAAATATGCAAGTAATTCTGATAAACTTAATATATAACTTTGGAATTGTTACAATACCAGAACCTTTTCTTAGAACCCGTGAATTTCTATGGCAAGAAGGCCATACAGCGCACTTCACAAAAGAAGAAGCAGACACAGAAGTAAAACAAATCCTTGAATTGTATCGTCAAGTATACGAAGATTTATTAGCAGTCCCAGTAATAAAAGGGATAAAATCCGAAAAGGAAAAATTTGCTGGCGGTCTCTACACGACCACAATCGAAGGTTTCATCCCGACCACCGGTCGAGGAATTCAAGCGGCCACTTCCCACTGTCTCGGGCAAAACTTTTCAAAAATGTTTGATATTGTGATAGAAGACCCGAATGCGTCTGCCTCGAATACTTCAACCAACTCAGCAACTGCAGGGAAAATGCATGTCTGGCAAAATTCTTGGGGGTTGACCACTCGCACTATCGGAGTTATGGTTATGATTCATGGCGATGATAAGGGGCTAGTGATTCCGCCGCGTGTTGCGTCCACGCAGGTTATTGTTATTCCGCTTGGAATGTCTGCAAAGACCACTGAGGTGGAACGACAAGAAGTTGAGAATAAAGTAAAGAAAGTGGTGGAAGAGTTGAAGTCTATTGGGATCAAGGCGAAGGCTGATCTGCGGGACAATTATACCCCGGGGTATAAATTTAATCATTGGGAATTGAGGGTTTGTCAATATTTTCTCTAATTTATCTATTTTCATGATTGAATATTAATAATATATTTCGACACTTGTTTCTTTAAGGGAGTTCCCTTACGTCTGGAAATCGGACCAAAAGATCTCGCCAAACAACAAACACTGTCAGTAAGACGTGACAACGGAGTCAAAGAACCTCTTCCACTCCCCGACTTAAAAACGCGTGTTCCTGAAATGCTTAACCTTATTCAAAAAGAAATGTTTGAACGTGCCAAAAAAGTGTACGATGATCACGTGAAAATAGTGATAAAATGGGAAGATTTCGTGCCGACTTTGGATAATAAGAACTTTGTTCTTACTCCTTGGTGCGAGGAAGGGAAATGTGAGGATGAGATCAAGGAACGAAGTGCCAGAACGTTAGTTATTTCTTTGTTTATGGTGGTGGTTATTGTTAATTAGGCTTAATATAATCAAATCTTGTGGTGTTAACATGAATTAATGTTTTATTATTACAGAAATACAGAACAAGAGCCTCAAGATGAGAAAGCGCCATCCATGGGCGCAAAATCATTGTGTATCCCTTTTGATCAACCGAAAGAGCCAGCACTAGTTCCAGGCGAAACAAAATGTGTAAATTGCGGTAAAGACGCTAAGCGTTACGGGCTATTTGGAAGAAGTTATTAATCTCTGTTACGCAGAATAGAATCTAATTTAATTCTATTTAAAATTAATGTACTATAAAAAGAAAAATCGTGTAAAATAAGGTTTAGTAGATCGATTGTTTGTTTGTATTGCATTTGATACATACACATCATAAACCAATAAATAATGTTAACAACCCAGCAAAATTATCCGATATCAGAAGCAAGAAAACCAATTCTAAGGTTGATCACGTGATGGATGGACTACACTTTAATTGTTCTAACCTCTAATACTAAAACAAAGGTAGCCAACACACATATAATTTGCGAATCACATGACGCCAAATCAAATACGACGATCCAAAATAATAATGATATTCGTTTGTTTGTTGGCAATTGCGCTTGAGTTTCTACTTTAATTACAAGGTCTCGAGTGTAGAAGATACTATTATTATGACCATTATTACTGTTGAATTATTACATTTTTCGTGAGCAACTAACTTAAAAAATAGAGAATATACATCTGTATTCTTTCCTGTTGTGAGTTCTTTGCAAAAGTAAGATTACAGTCGTTGGCTTTGTATGGAGTAGTACGCGCTCCTCTGTTATATAATATCATATAAACCCATCAACTAAACAAACATGAATCTGAGTGGAAAGGGAAATAATGAACTTTTGTTCATTAATTTTAATCAGGATTTTAGGTAAATATACAATTTGTTTGTCCCATTAATAATGGCGTTCGCGAAAAGAAAAGTGTAATTAAAGAAGGCAAAATTTGCATGTTACATTTTCAAATTTCTGTTAATCCCTAGCAGATTTTTGCATTCCATTCTAAAAGGTGGTGTTGATGAATTTTCAATTAATCTTATTCTTCCTTAAAATAGTTGCATCTCGGTTGGTACTCAACATGGATACAAAATTTATAATTGTGATCCTTTTGGAAAGTGTTATTCAAAAGGTTGGTTTAGAAACGATACTTCTTTCGGTCAGTGGAGAGAATTAAATGAAAGTATTAACCGAACCCTTCTGAATGTTTCATACATTTATATAAAAAGCTGAGGGTGGTATAGGAATTGTCGAGATGCTTTTTTGTACCTCGCTTGTAGCATTGGTTGGAGCCGGGGAACAACCGGCTTTCTCACCGAGACGCCTGCAAATCACTAATACCAAAGTAAAATGTTTCCAACTAAATGATTTGACTTTTTACATTACCAGTTAGTTAATCTTTTGCAAAACTAAATGTTAATTTATATAATAACTAGCGACAATCTACGATATGTGAACTTACGTTTGCAACCTCGATCCTTGCCGTGAAATTAAATCGACGACGATTGATTGTCGTGTTGGAACAAACAATATTCGTCTACGATATTAGTAACATGAAATTACTGCACACTATCGAGACGAGTCCTAATCCACGCGGTAATTATTTTCTTGCATGAACTTTTATAGTTAAAACCAGAATTAAAATAAATCTAATTTATTCATTTCACCATTATTCAAAATAATAAAAAATACGATGCATCTACTATTATTGCACACACACACACACACACATATATACATAGCTATTTGCGCACTCTCTCCCTCTCCTACAAATGAAAATTGTTATATAGCATATCCCTCACCTACCCCTTCACCAACTTCACCTTTTTCAAGCAGTACACAGAACGCGGCACCCTCTGGTGATGTGTACGTTTTCGATGCGTTCCAACTGCAGCCGGTCAATGTTATACAGGCACATAAGAGTCCAGTATCTTATGTTGCGATTAGCTTTGATGGTTTGAAGCTAGCCACGGCTAGTGATAAGGCATGTAAAAATTTATTATATCTATTATTATCTCGATCTTGAAATTCTTATTTTTTTTTTTTGATTTTATTAGGGAACTGTAATTCGAGTTTTTTCACTTCCGAATGGCCAAAAGTTATATCAGTTCCGAAGAGGATCATATCCGACCCGCATTCACTGTGTTTCCTTTAACACTGTTGGCTCGTTATTATGTGTATCTAGCGACAACGACACTGTACATATTTTCAAACTATCTGGAAATACCCACAGTGGCCCGCCAACTGGTGGTGCGAATACTGGTGGCGCGAATAATGGAGCCTCGAATGGCGGTACCGCCGTAGGTTCGTTGAATCGCCATTCCACAGGGCCGATAACGGTTGGTGGGTTCGAGCCTTATATTAACGAGAAGAGAAAAACTGGGCCTGGAGCTGTCGGGTTTGTTAGTTTTTTTAGTTTTATCAACATTATTATAAGATTGAAATTAATTTATCCGTAAATTGGGACAACATAGCAATATACGTCGCCAGTCTTATCATCTCGGTCGGACTGTTGCTGGTAGTGTCGGTAATTACCTTCCAGATGCGCTTACTGAAATTTGGGAGCCTGCACGAGATTTTGCCTATCTCAAGTTACCTAACTCCGGTGTGCAAAGTGTAGTTGCTTTTAACAAGTAAGTCGAAATAATTTACCACTTAGCAATACATCCATATATGTATGATACTTTTGTAAATACGGGTGTATACATATATGCACATATATATATATTTGTGGTATTTGTTCGCTTTGGAACATTCTACTTTCTTAAAATCCATCATATTCGAGCTGCTAATCGAAGCTTTCGTCATAGCACCGCAGCTCAACTTTTGGTAGTCACTTCGGATGGTTATTTCTACCAGTACAACATTGATCTCGAAAATGGCGGAGAATGTACTTTGTTTAAGTCATATAGGTATATTCGGATTTTTTTTTTACTATACTTATTGGAATATTAAAACATTAATATTAATTTATTCTTTTCACAAAGCTTATTGGAGACATCTGTAGATATTAGCAGCCCATCATCGGAAAAATAATTGCTTGATTGCTGCTGCTGAACTACATATTTTGGTTCTTTTGAGGAATTGAATCATCATAATTGTTGCTATGATGCCAAAATAAGTGGGATCCTAAAGTTATCTCTAATATATAAAGGATCACATTATTTTTATTATATTTATCGATCTTTACTTATATAAACATTGCTAGTAATAATCTTCTTTACTATTTTTGTAATATATTATTACATATACAATTGAATGATATAAATACATTTCTGCGCATTAAAATAATAGCATGTCTTCCTGATGCAGATGTATAATTTACGGCGTCTATCTCGTTTAGAAAACTACTCGGATCAAAATTTAATAATTAAATAAAAAAACATGATGTTTTACGATAATTATAAATAGCATTAAAGCTAACCAAACGTCTTTTGCAAACCATAACAAGAATATTACGAACACCAAAGCTGCATTAAGAAATAATTTTGAAATCGAAGCTGCCGGAGATCCACAAATTTACAGACGTTTTTATTAAACGGTTTAATTGTATGAATTCCATATATATATATATGTCAAACACTAACGAAGCTAAGATCATCAAAATTTTATTACTTCGATTTAGTACGAAATTTAAAGAACCAATGTTATATCGCCGATAATGAGTTTTAACATATAAAAACAGGATGAATTCGCTGGAGATTCAGGTAAAAAAAAAACAATCAAAATTAAAGCCATTATTGAACAATCGCACCTCATTCAAACTATCAATTAATCCTTTATCAATTTCAAAATAAATAACCGCAAAAAATGCTCAATACATCCGATATTTTTTTTATTGCGATTTTCGTTGTTGTGATCGTGGTCGGCGAATTATATGCCCGTGGTTTTTTAACAATGGAGTTGCTTTACGCAATTGCCAGAGAAAATGTATCAATCTACGTCGTCCTCGCAATTTTATTATTTTTGTTCGAAGAAATATATCTCCAGCTCCGACCCCCACACCAATTCCTATTACAGTCGATCCAGTTACGCAAAAACTTAAACAAGATATTTTGGCTTTACAAAACAAAATTACACAAATAGAAACCGAAGTGGAATGGAAGTCTGAAGCCCGAAGTAGAGGTTTGTAAAATAATTGCAAATTTAGCGTAACTCCTCATATTTTATTTAGAGCGAAACTCGTTACTTGTATACCTGTATTCTATAATTAGGGCAAGCATCTATACAAAGCTACAGGTCCAAATATTCCACTGAAACCGAAACTCTCTGGGTCGAATTTACCGTCCTATTTAGAAAGAGAGAAACATTCTCCCACAAAAATGTATAATGCCTTATCTGGAGAAATTGATCTCAGTCCAGCCACGCTAGCAAGTTTTTATCGGCACCAGAGATCCCTAAAATCGAAGATTGGGTTGAAAAAGAAAACCGGAAAAAAGATTCAGTTATCATTAGCGGTAATAGCAATAGACTTGGAGAGCCATTTCTCACGAAATAATAATTTTTCAAGTAGCAGTAATATAATTTTTGATAATAACGATGAAAACGATAGTAGCGGGAAGGAACTCTCATTTTATGGGTTAGGGCTCGAGATCTTCCTCCCCACTACTCCATCATCAATTTTTAGTTGTATTATGTACTCCAAAATAATAAACATATGCCTAAAAGGCTTTAACAATAAAATGCGCAACTTGTACAAATATTATCACATTTATTTTTAATCAAAAAAAGGTAAATGAAGGATGTGCATTTAAATATAATCTCTAATATTAATGATCAAAGATTCTTTGCCCAAACATTCTATTTTAAATGCATCATAATTTTCAGAGTATGATGCGTATACGAGATCCTTCTGCAATTTTCGAACTTTTTTTGATTCACTGCGAACATCAATAATAGCTATACTCTTTGCATACCTAACAATCTCTTTATATTCTCCCGCAGGTTCAAATCTCCTACTATGCTTAGCCATATCCTTACCATCTTGCAAGAGCTCCATTGCCCATTCCAACTCATCCACATAAAAATCTATGTATCCATCACATCCAAAAACTGCGCCCACATCACATGACAGAAAGTGATCCTTCCCTAACACTTGTGTTCCGACTCTATAAAATTCCTTCCGCCATGTTTGTTCCAGAAGGTTTCCATCAGTTCCAAATCCAAGCGTCTTTCCTAATGTTTTCCGGCCTTGTCCATTACATATTGCTGTAAAAGTTTTCACAATAAAATGATATAATGATGAAGGGGTAATTTCGGAACTATGGTGAGTTCCATAGCATTGCTGGAAAAATGATCGCATAATAAGAGGTGCTGAAAAATATATATTCCCATAATTAGCCACAAGAACCCCAGATTTGACTAACTGCTGAATGCTTATATTAGAAGGGTTGAAAAGAGTCTTCCCATTCAAGTAAACACTTTCGCATATTTCCAATTGCTCATCAGAAAAATCTTTTACTTTGGGTGAAGCACGGCATTCATTAATAGTCAAATTGAATCTGTTTGAATTTAGGTACGCAAATATGTCTTTCCAAATCAGCACATTTTCACGAATCCGCCACGCCATTGCACTTTTTGTATTATGCAATATGTGACGAACTAAACCCACATGTCCTGCCGTTGCTTT